GTTATATTCGAAGTCCTTCAGCAGCTGCATTCTCCTCAGGCAAGAATTTATAGGGACGGAGAGGTTCTTTGCCTAATGTGAAGAATTTACTGACATTACAGTAATGATGTTGTTTATTCTTACATCATTTTGCAGTTGTGTTCCGACAATACCCTGCTTGATAGCCGCACTTATTCTATCGGAGATAAATCGTATGCTGAGAACAAAGCTCAATCCTCTGGCGCAGTATGACCGTTAATAATACGTGAGAATCTTATTCATTTTTCGTAAGAATAACTATCTGTGTGTACTATTGTAATATCTAGTTGGTAAACTCTCTTTTGCTAGTATTTGCTTCTGCGTCTGAATACCATTTTATTACAGAATGTCAGCTAATTGCTTCAGAATTTTGGTGCAAATTTGTTTTCTGAACTGTATAACAAGACTGTATTACCTTGCTTTGAGTTGTTTGATTTACGCTCACCTTTGAGCTGATAGATGAATGGTTTACACGGCTGAGTGGAAAAATCCCAAAGTCCAAGCATTCCGTCCGCTTGCTGGAAACAAAAGTGAAATCATATCTCCATCAACATCTATAAAATTCTACCAAATTCTCATGCATTCTCATCATTGTGACCATTCCAAAACGGCAGTTTGACGACATCGTATCCAAATCTCCACCGACACTGAGGCTCTATAAAACACAGAGTTCGAACAAGAGAATTGCTCAACGTCATGTTTTTGACAGACTATAACTATTCTGCAGAGATCAAATTTTCGGGTTTATAAGCATTTTTACGAGATACAACTACATAAGAAAGACAGCCTAAGCCTCGTAGTTTGCAATGGATTTGAAAGGTTTCTATCTTTTGTATTGAAATCTCACTTGCACATTGTCGATGCCCAGTACACCTTCCACTTTTCCATGCCAGTTTTCCAGCGTCCATTCTGTCCCGTCTTTTACAAAAGAGACCGATATGGATGGATCAAACATTCTTCTGCTTCCACAACTTCTGAAATGTGGAACTTGACAATATGCGTATCTGTGCCTGTAGGACTAAATAATCGGTAAACTCAAACAAATTCCACTTTCTTCTTCTTCTTTACACTGATCTATAAAGGAAGGAAGCAGTGGTAATGAACACACGATTTTGCAGTCTCATCAAAAAAAAGTT